GGCGTACTCAGAGCTGTCACCAACGCCATGTGGGGAGGACAGGCCGCCCTCCGCCAGCCTGCCTCCCCTGTCCAGAGGCTCTCTGCACTGCTCACCTGCCCAGAGTGACTGGGGCTGGGCGGAAGCCAGGCATCCTGCCCTGCCCAACCTCGGCTGATCCGCCCCTGTGTGAGCTGCTGCCCCGCCGGGAAGGGTCACGAATCCAGGTCCTGGGACCGCGGACAGCCTCTCGCGCTGCCCCCCGCCCGGCAGGGTCACAGATCCAGGTACCGGGACCGCAGACAGCCTTTCCCACTGCCGCCCACCTTCAGTATGCAAATTAGCCATCATCTTGTTGCTTCAGGGTGGGGGTCCCCACTAGGGTGCCTGGCCAGTCTGGATGAGGGGATGATGGCTATTTGCAACTGGTCACACCCCCTTCAGGGAGGGGGCCCCCACTGGGGTGCCTGGCCAGTCTGGGTGAGGGGCTGAGGGCCGTTTTCAGACTGGCGGGTGACTGAAGCTCCCAACCCTCCTTTTTTTCTTTTTTCTTTTATTCTGGGATTTATTTACCTTCTATGGCTGTCACTGGAGCTGAGGCTCGGCTGCAGCTCTGAGACCTTGGCTGCAGCTCTGAGACCTCGGCTGCTGAAAGCAGGTTGGGTTTGTTTGGGTTCTATAATTGAAACACTGTTGCGGTCCTGCTGGCTGAAGCCCTGCTGCCTGAAAGCAGATTTCTGGAGTTTGTTTAGCTTCTATACTTGCAACACTGTTTCTTAGAGTGCAAGCTCAGAGGCCGGCAGCGGCAGGTGGGGAACCTTGGCTTCCTCCATCAGTGGAGCAAGCAAGCCTCCTGTTTGCTTCAGTGCCTAGCTGCCGGCCGCCATCTTCGTTGGCAGTTAATTTGCGTAAGGATATGCTGATTAGCCAATGGGAAGGGTGTCGGGGTTATGGTCAATTTGCATGTTTCTCTTTTATTAGATAGGATCTCTAGGGGCTTCTGCTTTCTGTGTTAGATTCATTCTCTCAAGGAACAAATTGAGCCCCAGCTGGTTGGGCTCAGTGGATTGAGGGCCAGCCTGCAGACTGAAAGGTCCCTGGTTCGATTCTGGTCAACGACCAATGCCTGGGTCCTGTCGGGTGTGTGCAGGAGGCAACCAATCAATGATTCTCTCTCATCATTGATATTTCTATCTCTCTTTCCCTCTCCATTTTTCTCTGAAAGCAATAAAATTTTGTATGTTTTAAAAAAGTAACAAATTGGGGGTCCGTAGGAGAGAAAAGCAAAGTTTTGTGATATATGTGAATTAGGAACTCAGTGTTTGCACACTTTACATGTTGTCTACACTAATTAAGGTACTATCAGAAAAGGATATTTTAGAAAATCATTTTCCTGAATATTCTAAGATTCTACCATGTCTCTGGCCAGAGGACAACCAGGATTGGAAATGGGAAAGCTTTATCAAAATTCATAATCCACTGTCTTTTATTTTCTAAGATTTTATTGAATTCAGAGAAGAAGGGAGAATTAGAGAGAGATAGAAAATTAAGCTGGGCTTTAGTTGATGTGCCCTGACCAGAGATCAAACCTACAACTTGGTTATATCGGTACGATCCTCTAAGCAACTGGGCTACCTGTGCAGGCAGATTGGATTCTTTCATTTAGTTCTATTTATCTAGGCTTCTATCATATTTTTGAATGGCTTCATGTATTATTTCCTTACTAGAGGCCCAGTGCACGAAATTTGTGCACCGAGGGTGTGGGTGTTACTCAGCCCAGCCCACACCCTCTCCAATCTGGAACCTCTTGAGGGTTGTTCGATTGCCTGTTTAATTCCAATCCCACAGGGATCGGGCCTAAACGGGCAGTGCATATCCCTCTCACAATCCAGGACTGCTGGCTCCCAATCAGCAGTCTTGCCTGCCTGATTGCCCCTAACCGCTTCTGCCTGCCAGCCAGCCTAATCACTCCCTAACTTCTCCCCTGCCAGCCTGATCGATGCCTAACTGCTCCCCTGCCAGTACAGTCGCCCCCAACTGCCCTCCCCTGCCGGCTCATTCGCTCTCAACTGTCCTCCCTTAATGGCCGAGTCGACCCCTGCTCCCCTCTTCTCATGGCCTGGTGGCCCCTGACTGCCCTCCGCTGATGGCTTGGTCACCCCTAACAGCCTTCCCCTGGCGACCTGATCACCCCCAACTACCCTCCCCTGCCAGGCTGGTCACCCCTAACTACCCTCCCCTCAAGGCCTGGTCCCCCCCAACTGCCCTCCCTTGCAGGCCTGGTCCCCCCCAACTGCTATCCCCTGCAGGCCTGGTCACCCCCAACTGCCCTCCCCTGTTAGCCAGGTTGCCCCTAACTGCCCTCCCCTGCTGGCCTGATTGCCCAGAACTGCCCTCCCCTGCTGGCCATCTTGTGGATGTGGGCACCACCATCTTTGAGGGCATGGCACTCAATTAGCTTATTCCCTCCTTATTGGCTGTGGGCGCCATCATGTTTGCGACAGCATGAGGGTCAATTAGCACATTCCCTCTTTATTAGATAGGATAGTAGTGAATAAGACATCATTGTACGTCCTGAACTGTATTTATCCATTCCCTTGTTGCCAGTCCTCTTCATTGCTTCCAATTTTAGTAAATTATGAATAAACAGCCTCCTTGTAGGCTTTTGTGTAGATCAGTGGTGGCAAACCTTTTGAGCTTGGCGTGTCAGCATTTTTTTTAAAATATATTTTATTGATTTTTATTTTTAAAAAGTTGTTTCCTCTCCATTGTTTATCATCTGTTTTGTCAATATTCTTATTGGGTGGTTTTTAAAAAAATATATATTTTATTGATTTTTTACAGAGAGAAAGGGAGAGGGACAGAGAGTCAGAAACATCAATGAGAGAGAAACATCCATTAGCTGCCTCCTGCACACCAACTACTGGGGATGCACCCACAACCAAGGTACATGCCCTTGACTGGAATCGAACCCGGGATCCTTCAGTCCCCAGGCCGACGCTCTATCCACTGAGCCAAACCGATCAGGTCGTTGTTGGGTGCTTTTGTTCATTTATCAATTCCATGTTTTATTTCATGCCATTGTTCTCCGCAGTATTTTTCTGCTTAGAAAACCCCTAATGATCTTAGAGGAGCTGTTCTTTCCATGAGGAATTATTTTTTATATGTCTTTAGATAGTATTCTGGAACACATGATATTTTCATTTTTTTTTATCTGTTCTCATGTTTATATTCATTCTACCTAGAATTCATGAGCTGCTTGCATTTGTATGTTGCTTTCTCCAATTGTCAGGATCTTAAACAATTAATTTTTTATATAAGTTACCTACTGCTTTTCACTATTCTGTCTCTATGGGGTCCCCTTGGTAGCCGATTTGTTAGTATCTTAGGAGTTCCTTAAATTCTGTTCACATTTCCACGTGTTTGTTGGCTTCTCTGAATCAAAATGTTAATGAATTAAAATTGTAATGATTTATGTACAAATTCTTGATTATTTAATTACTGTGTTTTAAATGTATGTTTATTGATTTCAGAGAGGAAATGCGAGGGAGAGAGAGATAGAAACATCAGTGAAGAGAGAGAATCATCGATGGGCTGTTTACTGTATGATCGGGGATTGAGCCTTCAACTCAGGCCTGTGCCCTAATGTGGAACCAAACCGTGACTTTCTAGTTCATAGGTAGAGACAACCTCTGAGCCACACTTTGATGTTTTGAGTTGATCGTGTCTTTCATGATTCTAGTGTATTTTTTTTTTAAATGTGGAACGCTTCACGAATTTGCATGTCATTCTTGCGCAGGGGCCATGCTAATCTTCTCTGTATCGTTCCAATTTTAGTATATGTGCTGTTGAAGCCAGCACATGTATTTTTTAATTTTGGTATTATGTAGTTCAATATCCCCCTTCCGTGTGGTATTTATAAAGTACTTTCTCGCCCTGACCGGTTTGGCTCAGTGGATAGAGCGTCGGCCTGCGGACTCAAGGGTCCCAGGTTCGATTCTGGTCAAGGGCATGTACCTTGGTTGTGGGCACCTACCCAGTGGGGAGTGTGCAGGAGGCAGCTGATCGATGTTTCTCTCTCATC